CTACACTATATTATTCAAATATAGCATGATAGGTCCACTTTAAGTACATTTCAAAGCCCATACTTCTTTACATTTAACTCTTGAGTAAAGAAGTTTAGTCAGTATTTTTAAGCAGGAGTATCTGTACTTCTACTTGAGTAAAGGATGTGTGTACTTTTGCCATCTCTGGTGGTGCCTCATGAGAGTTCTAGACGTGCAGACCATGGAGGTTAAGTGGAGCTCAGTGGGAGAGCCCAGCTGTGATGAGGGACCGCAAATCCCATAAGCCACCAGTCTCAGGGCAGGTTGGCACCACAGGAAGCTTTCATAGGAGAGACGGGGAGAGTGGCTGTGTGGCGAACAAGGGGAATATTGGATGTGAGGAGATAGGAATGTCTTGGCCAGCCTCTCTGACGTGAGAAGAATACCGTATTGTCTTGTTTTGAACAAGCTCAGCAATGTGGACAGCCGTGATCCAGTGACTCTGGATCACTCTGAAATATTATAATGTCTCACATTTTACAGTGCTTAGCTATTTCTGAGCCATTTACTCCACCTGTTGTAATGCATTGGACAGAATCCAACGTTATTCTTTCCTCGCATCAGGACATACAGTGAGTAGAGAAGGATTTCCTTTGCTTCGAGCTGGCTGCTTGTTTGATTGCACCTCAGTGATTAAATCAAGAGGAATGCAGCATCAGCATATTTATTATTGATTACCATAACCTTTATTTAATCAGGTAATGCCATTGAGATTGAGATTTCTTTGGAAAGAGAGACAGACGAAAACGGATGCAAACAGCATCATAGATAATAACCCACCTCTCTGCATAGATACTACGCTAAAAATACAAGTTCAAATCAAACAATGGAGCTTAAGGTTGAATATCATTTGTACTTTGTTCCATTTACTTTGAGGAAAATAACAGATGGCAGTCCTTTCCATACATTACAGGAATCTAAAGCAGCCATTATCCTAGAAAATGCCTTCAATTGGATTATTCTTCTCCTTATAATTAACTTCCAATGCCAACGGTAATGTCAA